GGACAGAGCCGGGGAACAGGCGTAAAGACGCGTATGCGAGAGAAATACCGAACGAGCGGCTAAGAAAAGTGGAGAGAAGACGGAGGGAGGGGGATGCACGGGGAGAAGAGTGAATTGATTGTAAGAAACGGGCCGCGCTCGGGGATGAAAAGCCAGGGAAATGAAAAGAAGCACGAGAAAACGGGAAACGATACGGTGGAACGAGGTTGAAACGAGGTTCTATGCGGCGAACAGTTTAAAAGGGTTAAACGGGGCAACGTATATGCTTGACGATGAATTTCTGAGATGGTGTAAAAGAAAGGAGAAACGTCACACGTCTTAAGAATAAATGCAACGAAACGTTCCGAAGATATTCCCCGATACGGAGGAAATATATATATATTTTGATGTGAGAAGTTGCCGCGTGATTAGAAAATAAATGAAGTAGCAAAGAGAATTGATGAACGTAAAATAAGTGTAGGAGGACAAGAAACCAAGTACGGAAAATAAGAGAAAATAGGAGAAGGGGGAAGGTAGTTTTCGCGTGAATTGTGGAAGGAAGGAAAGGGAGAGGAGAGCAGAAGCGAGGCGCCAGGTCACTTTGGGAGAAGAGATCGACGCTTAACGATGTCTCTCGATACCTATTACGTGGCTAGCTGGGATTCAACGAGCCACCACTACCACCCACCCCTATTATTGTGTGTAGTACGAAGAAAAATCCGATTGATCCTCTATCTCTGGCCCCTTCTACCGTAACTTTAAACGTACCTCACACAATCAATTTCCCACGTAATTCTCTTGCTTTTCTTAGTTCAAATTAAACAAAAATATCATATATATATATGTGTATATGTATGAGCACGTCGTGATATCAAAGAATCGATATTATCGTCTGAGTATCTTTTTATAATTGAACTTGTTAGATTCCAGCGAGATTTGTATTTCTTTAACTGTATTTTGCAATTTTCTTGGAACACCTTGTATTTCTTCAAATAGGATTCTACGCCTGAGCGTTTCAGGAACAATGAATTTGCGAGAATTTGAAGACATGATATTCAATAGACTGTTTTCCATAGTTTTCCAAATTCTTTTTCTTTTCTAAATTATAAAATTCTAGTTTAAAATATAACTGGTGGTATAATTAATTCTGCATGCAAAAATAAGTCGAAAAGAACGAAATAACATTTTTGAGAAACTCAAATTTGAAAATTTGTCAAATAGATATACTTAAATCAGAATAACTTTGAACAACATACAAGTAAATAATCGGCAGAATGTGATTTGTACGTGCGGAAATAAGTGAAACATGAAAAATAAAATTCTTTTTACGAAACAGACAAGTTCAAAGTCCATTTGAACAAAAAAATTTTATCCTTTCTTTTCGACTTACTTTCATGTAGAATTATCTAATTTCTAGTCTATAGTATATATCAGTTACAATGTTACACGATACACGCTCAAAAGCTTCCAAAGAGGTAACGACCGTCTCCAGTAAACTTTATAATATTTATTTACAATATTTCAATATGTCAAAACCATTGTACTGTGATTATACTTAAAGTACAACTACAATATTCTTATTTCTCTAATATCCAGTACGAAAAGAACTTTCAAATGAGAGACAAAAATTTCCAGAATCTCCAAAAAAAACACCAGACACCATGCAAAACAAACATTTCATCCCGATATCCAAAATCAGATCACAACGTGCGTTCAGTTCTCTCAACTGAACTTGCGCCCCGTAATCCCGTAAAAGGATATCTCGCAATCGCGATAACGAGTTCCGGAGGAAGCGTTGTTCGATTTCCTCCCCCCCTTCTTGTTACAATCTTCATCCCCTCAACTCTCGCAACCTTGTCACGTCTCGATTCGGTGTTTCGACGGCGATTATTCCAGCCACGACGTTCATATTAATCACAATCCAGGATGGGGGGGAGAGGTTATACGATCAACTTGCGAATCAGGACGTGGTAACTGATTTTAGAGCATCGGAAGGATCGTGGCACGATCGCGGAGGTCGAGAGGCGGCGTGGCGGCGGCCTGATGTCGGTAGACAGTGATTAATACGGTCAACGTCGTCTGGCGTCTTGTTCCCCAGGAAGACTGGAAGCGGAGAGGAGCTAGGCTCGTCTGCGTGGGCGGGCGGGCCCGCGATACAGCGTTTTCAGCCGAGCTGCCGCTGCTTTCGAGAGCGTACTCCGCGGTAAAAGGTTTTATGAAATTCATTGTCAGACAATTTGCATGTCAAAGCCGCTCGAGAGCACGCTCTACAACCTGCCAGCCGGCAGGGGAGCAGCGTCTGTCTCTGCTTTTCCTTGCTGCGCGCCACGCTGGCTAACCGACTCACTATGGCCTACGGTTCGTATGGAATTACGAAAAAATGAGGCCACTTTGCCGGCATTGCACCGACCCAGCTTATTGCCATTGTTTATCGATGGGGATTATTTTGAAAGAACGCTCGATACGTGCATAGGGATACGTCCCAGAGGGATTACGTCCTTTGTAGCTTGTAGGGTGTAAAAATTAGAAAAAAATAAATCCAATTTTTCTTTAATTTCATTCTCTAATACGCACATATTTTGTATATATGTTTTTCTTTTATAGAGTGGTGGCTGTGGTATTACAGTAACTAGGATGATTCTGTGAAAAAAAGAATACAATCTTTTCATTCGACGAAAATCAATATTCTAAAATTTTATCTCGACGTAGATAGACTTGCCAATCTCACAGTAAACTAATATTGGTGTCAATGTTTGTATTTATAAATATTTTCAATGTCACGAAAATGCGTTGAAGTTATATTACTTTAAAAATATCTTTAAGATACTTTTGTTACTTTAAATATAATACTATCTCGTGAAACCATTGAGTCTCAGTTCTTATATACTTTTGCAGAGATAAAAAAAATGAATGAATATCACAATATCTCTTTTTCTCTAAATATACGATATTTATTAAACAATTACAACAGCTGCTGGATATTGTGAATAGTTTGTTACTGCATACTGCATCTTAAGAATCAGATGGTCATACAAACTAACATTAATGTAAATGTAATGAATATTGAATATTAATTTTTAAAGGTCTAAATCGAAAAGGATTAATCGAGCTGGTGGAATGGTATGTTCAGCTCGTGTTGGACAGAAAAAAGAATTTTTTTAGTGACAAAAAAAGACAATGAAAGGTTGTAAAAAATCTAAACAGGGATTGGTTGGAAATTTTTAATTAATAAATATAGTGTATTTTAGAAATATTGTATGTTTCTTGTATTACTTTTCATTTTAGTAAGTAATGCAATTTTCCTGAGAGTAATATCTAAACTAAAGGTAATTATTACAATGAAAGTTGAAATAAAAAATGTTAGAATATAACTGTCAACCTATACATGTTAAGTGTGTCAAACTGTGAAAGTTGTATATATGTATGTTGGTGTGAATGATGACAACATTCAAGGACTTACTTTGTATATATTATACGGTATGTACAACGAAGAAAGTTCCAGAAAGAATAAAACCAGTGAACAGTAAACAAGTATATATAAAAACTAAAATTTAATTGAGACGTTATTAAAAGTAACACCCCAAGAACTAATATTCCACCGTCACAAACTAATAAATTCCAAAACAAAAAATTTAATACAAGAAAGTAAAGAATTTATTACGAAACATATGGACAAATTTGTCACCAGTTCAATTTTCAAGAAGTAATTTTTTACTTTTATCTAGTATGTACGAAAACCAATTATTTTCTATTAAATCTTATTTAAACTTTTATCGACTTGTCTTCGATTTAAAAACAATCGAATTTTGCACATTTTTCACCACTATTTTGTGAACCGTATAAACTTTAAGTTTGAAAAATAAATAATTCTCATAGAAATTACGCGTTAAAAAAAAAAAAATATTTTAAAAAGCTGAAAAAGTAGCGTTTTATGATGCTTCGCCCGTTTAAATAAAAAATTGCTCGTAAGCATTATTCCCTCTCGTATTTGCCATGTTTCTATTTTCGACGAGAAAATCGTTTTTCCGGGAAATCGAACGGCAATTTCTTGCTGAATTATGAATTGCGATTTTGTATAAAAGCGGAATTACAACGATAGAGAGGAGGCCGTTGTAATTGAATCACTTTGTACAGGGAAATGAGGATACTTTATGGCAGGTTCGCGCTCGACAAAAGAAAACAAGCGCCCCTGCGCCCAAAGAAAATGCAACCTCCATTTTAGAGACTGGTTTTCACGTGAATTGACAATTACCAACCGCGTTGCAATGAATTGAATTCCACCGTACGATTTTATTGCTAAAATATCGAATATTTCTAATATCCTACATCCTCAGCACAATCTCTTCGTACTATTTTTGGAAAAAAAACCAATAAATACGCATTATCGATACTAGTTTCTTAATATAATGTTTTCATTCAGAGATCATTTTTATTGCATAAACTTTGTAAGAGTTTTTTGTTGATTTCTATCAACCCTCATCCGTCCCTCATTCTTTAAACTTGATTTGTCACAAAATGATAAAAATTAATACCTATAATGAAAAGATAGACAATTAAATTTGCGGATGCTTTTATGAACCATAAATCGTTAAAAATTTCTATTCAATTGCGTATGAGGTTCACACAATTTTATAAATGTTCAATTTCATATCGTGATATTATCTTTTCTAGTTTCGTCCAACATTGATCATTTATTTTCAATTTCTCATATGTTCCAAAACTATACGCATCTTTAAAAAGATGGTATATTGAATTTTACTGTGGTATAATAATTATAAATCAATGTACTGCCTGTTCAAATACAGTAAAAACAAATATTATTTATCAAAAATGTATGCTGTACATTAGAAAAATAAATGTCACAGAACTACACTTCTATCTACATGCTGCAAAATAATATAACATTTTATAAGAAAAATATATCAAATTGACACAAGGGAGTTAAGATCTTCATTATATAAATCTTATTTTAATATTTATCTCTATCTATCTTTTAATATTTATCTCTTGCTTTTACAAAATGGCAATGGAATTGTCTTGCTACAGAGTTATCTTCCTCTTTTCTATGATGGCATATGTTTTAAACTAAAGATAAATATCAAATATTTACTCGAGAAGTTATGTCTTTCTTGCAAAACATTTGAAACTTCTATCATATATCAAGGATTTTTTTCACGAAAAATAAGTAATTAAAAAATATATAATTTCTACAAAAATCAATAATTTTTAATCCAATGTATATTTTCTAAGTAAATATATAGAAACTAAAAATCTTTAGATATTTTCTTTAGCTCTAACTGTACTAACTTTTCATTCCAAAATTTCATTAATTCTTTAAGAACATCTGATATTAATAATTTAAACTTCTTGATAAATTTCACAAACTTAAATTGTATCAATAATTTAAATTTTAACTCTCTCTGGCTATATTTAAAATTACCAGAAATCTAAAAGTTTAATACCGAATGAAAATTGCAATAAACCAAGAGTGTATTTATCTTTAAACACACATCTTTTGATATATTCATTCAATACATCATATACATCATCTTCCTCGAATCTCTAATAGGTAAACCAATTAATTTATTCTAGAATATTTTATACAGCATGGACTAAACACTTGAAGAGCTAAATGTGGACACTGAATGGTCACATATTTATTTCGTTTATACATGATTATAAAATTTAATATTATTGAAATAATATCTTGTAGTAGTTTACAACAACTAGAGTTCACAGTGATCGGTACAATACACAAACGTCGTTCCTGAACGGTTAATTATATTCTTTTATAAGGAAAAAAAATTATTATCATTAATTTAACATACTTAAGACAGCGTAAGATGTATCGAGCAGATGGAGGTTCCTTAAAATTCAAGCAGCACGAAATGCACGGAGGGGAGGACTATAATTCCGGAATATCGTATATGTTTCACCGATGCGAAGGGTGAAAGTTCCGCCGGACAAAGGGCGAGGGCGTATATGCCGAGCGAAAAAAAGAAGAAAAAAAAACGACTGCCTGGATCTCCGGTGTAATGCCTTATAAAGAGTAAAGCCACGGCACGAGGACGGTAGGAGAATTTATCGTGGTTGTCTGGTGAAGCTAAGGGGATCAGCGGCCGCAATGATTTTCAATTTTCAAATCCACTTCCCGGCTGTTCTCCTTCGTTCTTCTTCCGATCGGGATACCGAATCGACGTATTTCGTGTACAGCCAGTTCCTAAGCTTTCACGGCCACAAACGCGCAGGACCACGAGGTGGATACACGTTGATTTCGAATTTATTTTGTCTACGTTCGTGCTCGTAATTTGCATTCGCATGCATAGAGAAATATTTATTGGACTCGTGCGGATACTTTCGCAGATAAAATTTTAATAACGCGTAATTTTTACAGAATATTATGCATTTAGCACAGTGATCACTAGTGAGCAGAGTTTCCATTCGTATAAATATTTATAGATGAATATTATCGTCAAAAATATTAAATATCGCAAATAATTAGATATCATTGTAACGTAATGTTATATAAAACTTGTATAAAATTTTGTAACTTTTATTGTATAGAAATTAAATACAAGTAAAATGTATATCTAAATTATGCGTGGCAATTGACCTATTAAGCAAAACAAGTTCAATACGATTTTATTCATTTCTCTAACAATTTACTGATTCCATTATTTTAGAATTATATTAATTCTAGAATTTAAAAATTATATGGAATAAAATTGTTATAATTCATTTTTCAATAATTCAGATAATAAAAAATTACTTGAATGGAATAAATGAGATTTTTAACCTGTCCATAAATTTATGCTTGTAGCAGTGCTTATGATACAACAGAACAAAATTGAACGAATATTCTAATTATTTCGTGATAAAAATTTTGATATTCTTATGATACATATATTTTTTTTTATAGTTTATAACAAATTTCTAACTTTTTAACATGATTATTAATTTACGATAAAATAAAATAAAATAAATGTAATTGGTTCGTCAATATTATACGACTTGTCTAATTTTCATTTGCTTCTTTGATTTGAAATTGTTCTTTCGAATAATGAAAAGAATTCTTATTACTATACTGTAGTCCAATAAATGAACTGGAGATTTTTATATTCTCCGAAGAAATGTTTAAATGCAAAATTACAGAAATATAGATGCCCAAGAAATATATCAATCAAGATATCCAAAGTATAGTGATTTCTATATGTACTACCAAGATACTATTTCCCTAATGAAAATATGAATCTAAAATTCGCACTCGATACTTTGAATATTTTGCGTAATATGTGTTCTCGTATCTTCAAGCACATAAAAATCCCCTATCTAATAAGATTTCATTAAAATCACAGTCGCGTATTCTAAACCTACGCGTCAACATATTTCGAAAAGATCTTTCCATTTAGATCGAAGCATCGCATCGTGCTAAAAATGAATTTCGAGCGAGAGGGAAAGAAGAAAAAGCGAAATGGTCGTCCATAAAATCGCATTGCATGGTTTATCTTTTTTCTTCCTCTTTTCTTTTCTTTTTTTTTGTAGGCACGTGGTCGCGGTAGCACCGGTGCACCCTTTATCCCGAGGAAGCGGAAACGGAACTGGATGAAGCTAGCGCCGCCGGCTCGAAGGTAACGAGGTTTTCCTCGGTTGGTTAATTTGCCGCGGATTGGATCGCGCGAAAACACGCGCACTAACGTGGTTTTCAACGAGCCCCCTTTCCCATCCCTTTCAATCTGTCCTCATCCCTTGTCGAAAGCATCCACCGGTGTCACCGACATTCTGCACTTTGATCATCGCGAATCGCCAATGATACCCCCCGATGCTAAAATGCTGCTCGCGTAACGCGATTACCGCAGTCGACTCCATCGAATATTTTCCCCTCTCTTTTCCTATCTTTCTTTTTTTCCCTCCTCTTCTTTCTTTCCTTTTTTCTCTCCGATTTTTTCCTTTTCCTCTTTTTCTTTCTTCTTTTTTTTCTTTTTTTTTTTTTACTTTGCCAAGNTTTTTAATACACGGGAACTTTGGAAGCTCGCTCACTCGCGAAACCTGCCCCCGATATATATTCGATGCTGAAGCTCGTTACACTTTGATCGCCGGCTCGCGAGGACGAAAAAGGATTCGCAGCGGTTAAGCTTTCAGCGTGCGGTTCGCTCGTTAATCGAATCTCTCAGAATTCGTTTTAGCATCTGGCTTAATGCGACGACGAGGTATCCGGACTGTCGTTTATTCTGGTTGGCAATTATAGTGTTTTGAATAAAATAAGTAATATTTTTACACTTGTGATAGTGTTCTTGAGCAGTGATATGAAAAGAATCTTTATGTATATATCGTGTGTATTGTATAAAATATTTTGAGATTTTATTGACAATAAAATAAGAAACGGCTAATTTTGGAAACAATCTGAAAATATACAGGATGATTCTTAAATCAAAATCTAAATATGAATCTTGAAAATGAATCAATATCTTACATAATTTTTTTAATTTTCGAGTTATAAATGATTGAAGAAAATGTTCAATTTGTCTACCTTGTACATGCCTCAGTACATGCCTTGCCTAATACTTACAAAAATAAATAAAACTCAATCCATGAAACTTTTATTTTTGTTGTAAACTAAAATCTATTGTGTATTTGAAACTGTGACAATAAGATGAATAACAAGTACGATCTGAATGGATTGAAGAATGATTCAAAAAGTAGTTAGTATTTTCGAGCGAATGCAGAATTCAATGTTAAGGCATGTAACAGCATTGTGTCGAGACATAAAGCAGACTCAATTATATTTTTTCAATTATCTATAACTCGAAAATTAAGATATGTAGGATATAGATTCAAATGACATTTTTTTTATGTATTTTAATCTAAATTTTAATGAAATATGTATGTGCATTTAAGAATCACCCTGTATATAAGAGTCATAATATATTTATTGGAAACATATATTTAATGTATGTATGTGAGAAATTAAAAATTAAAATAATATCTAAAACAGACATAAATGGCCCATTGAACATTTAGACTTATTGATATAACATTATGGCTGTTTAAATACTTTTATGAACTCTGCGAAATATAGATATAACTCATACTAAATACTTCTATTTTAAAATTTGTTTCAAACATGATCAATTAATTATAACAGTTGAATTTCACTACAGCATGTTTTATATAACACACATAATAAATATATTCATAAGAAAAAAATATGTAAATATTCGACTTTTGTAACCAGCTCTATGTATTTATTGTCAATAGAATCACTAACAATAATTTACACTGCGAGAACAATTGTATTCAAATTTCATATATCACCGTGAAATCATTGCAACGATAAAAAAACAACTAAAAAATAAAAAATACTGACACAGCTTTATATAAATATTTACTGTTGTCCTTTTTTTTTATGTGTGATTCGTTTCGAATTTGAAATTTCATGCCATAAATATCCTTTATAAACAAATGCGATCCGTCTATGGTTCATAGTCATTTTACGCTTTTGCTTTCGTCCTTTTAAATATACAATTTAAAATAATAAATAACAAACTCATAAAGATAGTTCAATTTCAAACAGAAAAATTGTAATAAATTTAAATTAATAGAAAAAAAGTAAAAATATGTTAAGAAAATTACTGATAAATTCTACGTATTATATCCTATTGTATTATAATCTCTGGATCATTGCATTATCGATACAAAGATGAAACAAAGAGTGTTGTAAAAATTATTCCAATACATTAAATTCCATATATTGTTTACAATCTGAATTCTTATTACCTTGTCGAGATTAACACAAAAATGAAACAAGGACTGATAAAAAAAAAATTACTTCCACTCCTGAATTACCATTACTTCATCAGTACTAGTACAAAAATGAAACAAAATGCGATAGAAAAAATTCTACATATTGTTTACAATCTTCTACATATTGTTTACATTACCTATTATTTCATCGATATCCAGGAATATAAAAATAAAACAAGGAACAGTTGAACAATCCTGCCTACATATTAAATTCTACATATTGTTTATAATCCCTGGATTATTATTGTTTCATCGGTGCTAATGAATCGAAAAATTATTCGCCCATGAAAATTATATCCCAATGCGTAAATTCGACGTGCTGTTGATCATCGTTATTTTACTGATACTGACAGAGCGTATCAACGCTGTAACACAACAAAAATGGCCGGTTGGTATAAAAAGCGCTGGCGCGTAACAAAATCGAAGTAAAGCCTTTCATAAGTTTTGATTTAAACTCTCACGGATAACTCATTCCGTAAACAACATTTTATACTTGACGTATTACTACCGTTTTATACGGGTGCGCGGAGCACTTTGATCAGCGCCGGATAGCTGATGGAAAAATGCAGGCTGCATAACTCGGTTATAGTTTGCGTACACGTCAGCGAACGTTTTTACGCATCCCCCAGCCTCGAATCGGTATACAGGATGTCCCATAACAGGTGCTTCGCTACAACGAGCAAAGGATCATCTCACTCCACGAAAATATTCATATAAAATCAAATAGATATGGATCAAGAATACAAAATTTTAATCTACGAAACTGCTTCCGATGAAATTTACATCGAATTCGAAAAATCGTATCATATGAGATAAATAAATAAATATATATATACATTTTGCGAAGAGTCATGTATTTTAATGCTAATAATTTTCTACATCGCATAAAATATATTTTATACGAAAGAAATTTTGTCGATTTCAACAAAGTTGAGTTTTGCATCACGTATGTATGCTTTGTGAAAAATTTCGATGCTCTTTTCATCAAGTGTAAACGTGGAAGAATTTTTATTGTATAAAATAATAGAAGGATTTAATTGCTTCTTTCAGCACATCTAATTCTCCGAGAATTTTTCAATTACAGGTATCACTTGTTTAAAAACGCTCCGATACGTATATATCAAATATTACACGAAGTTTTCTAGCAAAACGCTAATGCTTTATTTATCCAGTTGGAATGGAGTGAGTTAAAAAATTAATAACCTAAAGGAAAACAATTTTTTCGTTAAATACAACCGATCAATTCGTAATTTGGCTGCATCGAACGAATGGTTCATATTAAGCTCAATATCGGACGTTATATGCAACAATAATCCCATTTTTATGCAGAAGATAAAAATTCATGAATAAATGAAAAATATGATGGAAATTCACAGAAACAAATGTGTTCAGATAAAAACCTAATTTTTTCACAAATACTATCAAACTCTCCACATTGTATAATAACATTGGCTGCATCGAATGAATAATTCATACTAAGGTCAATATTGGATGTTATAATAATGATCCTATTTTCATGCAAAAAATAAACGAAATTCCCTATAAATGAAATTGCATGCTCAAATTACTTTTTCCATCAAATTCTATCAAATACACAACAAATACAATCTATCTTACAATTTACCTGTATGTCATTCTTTTTTTTAATTCAACGTAACCCATTTCTATTGACCCATCTCTACTGGTTACCGAATTCTAATCTTAATCACTGCCCTAACCTATAATTTCTGAAATACCAATCTTCGAATTTTTCGCGGTCCCGCGTTGCAAACAATTTGCCGTTGATATCGGAAGCGTCCTGTATAAATGCGTACCTATACATATGCATGTATTATATCCTGTGCATCGGGCTGCAGCATCGGCAGGCGCAGCCAAGCGTCCGCCAATTATTCAGCAAATGTTATAATTGGCACATTCCATTACGCGTAATGGATCGCACTTAGCGGCTGCCGGTGTGATTGGGGCTTGGGAGCCGCGGAGAGAGACGCCGAGACGGGAACGAAACGTTCGGGAGGTTCGAGGGAGCGAGAGAGAAGTAGAGAAGGAGGCGAGGCCAATCTCGATAATACAAGCGTAGCGAAGGATACGACCTGACGCATGCGAGATACTCGAGGATAGCGCGTATCTAAACGCCATCGGGATGTTTCGTATCGGATTGCCACGGTTCAATCCTCAGATAATGATCGTGGATTTTCATGCATGTCAATCACGGTAAGGTGATAACTGCACCGATCCATGCGATACAGTGAATAGATATCAATACATGTGTTCCAGCATTTTCTTGGATTATTGATTAGATTTAATATTGGGGGGAAAGATTAACGTGAACGATTATTTGTTGAGTGTTGATACTGTTAAAAATGTAAATTACTCTATATCATTGCGATTTGTGAAAATTGACATCTTTTAACCGGGGTCCCGAGCTCACAGGGTTCGTACCTGACAAAACGAGTAGGCCTCTTGGAGAAAATAATAATCGTGTACAAATAATTTTATATATACATATATATTATACGAATTATAAGAATTATAGAAACCTATCTAGAATAAATAACAATTATTGCAGTAATTGTTATGCAGAAATTTAATTTCTATTGTTATACAGTTAAATGTAATTGAAAACAAATAAACTCATAGAACTGATTCGACTGAAATATAAATTTTAATATAGAAAAAGATTTTGCATTATTTAAATGGTATAATTTCTGTTATTCAATATCATTACGTAAGAAAGAAATTAAGAAGACATTTTATTTGAAATTCTAAATATATATTTAATACAATTATGAAATAGAGGTTAGGAAACTTATTAATTTTTAAATAAAAAAAAAGAAAAGAAAAAATTATCAAAAAGTAATACATTTATACATTATACATTTTGAAAGTTATAAACTTACAGAAGCAAAGAGATAAATAAATGTAAAATCAATTACATAATTTATGATATATTTCCTTTTTCAATGAAATGAATAATTGCTGCATAATATATGTGTAGTTCAAATTCTGTATAAATTGTATGGAATGTAACCCTAATGTTCTATTTTATTCAACAAATGTTCCAAATAAATATAAAATTCAATAATTATTTTCCTCTATGTGAGATAAAAATAAAGAAAAATATTAAGATATATCAATTCAGAATTGTTTGAATAAAATATTGAATTAACTAAAGGTATAAAATTTACTTTTTTACTAATTTTAATTCTTATTATGAAAAATTAACAAAGTTTAATTGTCTTTAAACAATATAATAATATCTGTAAGTCTTATCTATATAAGTATGTAGTACTTACTTTTAATTTACTTTAATTTATCCAATGTAAACATTTGAGAATTCATACAAAATCATAAGCAGAATTAATGATTTACACATTAGTATGTCAGTTCTGGATGTAAGTAACCAATATAAAAGATAAAATTAATAAAGCTGACATAATATATCAAAAAAAATAATACTAATAATAAAATTAACGGTTTAATGAATATTGATAAGGTATTTCTTATCATTATTAAATTACATAATAAGAACAAGTATCTATAATGTAGATACATGATTGTAGCTTCGATAACATAATCAAATTATTTCTTAAAAATTATTTTCTAGTGGTATTATTGGATGTATAACATGAATGTTTCTGTTACAGGAAATTCAATAGATCTAACGACAATAACTTCGAGGTTATGTCATTCAGAAAATATAACAAATTGTGTTTATAAATATATCAACGAATATTAACAATTATAAAGAATTATAATGGTAATTAACGTGAGACACATTAAATATTAAAATTATTCACTCACCCTAAATCCCACGAAAAAAGAAAAGAAGCGAAGAGTAACTTGCTCATTCAATATATCCTTATGCCGATCGATCTTTATGCTACAATACAATTATGCAAATAAAATAACCAACTATATTATGCATTATTAATATTATGGCAAGATCTTACAATATTTACCTTTATTTATACAACAATTTTGGAAAAGGATCCTCCGGTATCACAATCACGTCAATCACACGCCCGTTTTAAACAAACTGAATCGTATTGTGCGCGCGAAACGTTTAAATTTGATTTGATTTACAATTGGCCATAGTAAAGTATTATATTATATACATTACCTGTATATATAAAATATTATATTATAAACGTTACTTGTATTATATACAAGTAATGTTTAATAATTTAAAACGATGAAAAATTAGATTAACAGTTTCTAATTATTTAATTTTTTTATAGCAATTACATAGTAAAAACTAACGTAGTAACATGTGTCAAGAGAATTATACGATAATTAAAAAAATTAAATGTATTATTCGTTAAATAAATTTTGTATTACGTTTATACTATTATTATAATATTATTCATAAATTATAATATATTATAACATTATTAATATATTATATTATAATATTATTCATATTAATAATATTATTATAATATTATTCATAAAAATACGATTATATTCTTATTGTCAAATTTAACCTTACAACAGTCTTTATATTGCAAAGTTTAAGAAAAATTGAACAACAAATATAAAATATTAATCTATTATAAATATAACATATAAAAATGCAAAATTTCAGTTTCAAAAATTACAATCCAAAAAAATAAGTTTCGATATAATTATTTCATTTTTCTTTGATTTAAATTTTTTATCCCAATTTATTATTTTCCATTACTCACGACAAGCATATATTATTAATATGTAACATGTAATTATTGAATATGGTAATATACTAATATGGTTTTAGATTGTACTATTAAATAATTATAAAATTATCTAAAGGCCATATAAAGATAAATACTCATGAAAACCTCATTATCCATCAGTAATCACTTCATTTTACTTCCAATATATAAATCTTTATTACGAAACAATTAAAAGCTATCACATCGATCCCAAGGGAAAGGATACGACACTGGAAACACAAATCAATCATCTTCGCTGGATTTCCAGTTGCAAAACTATCGCAGTAGTAAACCAGTCAGTGTGTAATGTAACGTCAGGAATGATTTGTAGCCGCACAAAGGTAGATCCCGGACGCGCGAGAAATCTTTGGATATCATGTGGTTTCGTTCGATAAGCGTAGATTGGATAGCGGTGCCGGTGGTCATCATTTACAGGCGGAAACAGTGATGCAAGAGCGGCGAACACGGTTGGACACCGTATGCGGTCCGTGACAATTATTAGGATGGCAATTACCAGTCCGAGCTCGCGCGAAACACAATGGTGGCGCACAATAGGAGTGGGAAATCTAGCCGAACGCCGCGAAATAGACTCAGGTGTGCTCGCTGGCCGCTGCTGAATTTATAATTCTGTTAGGCACCCTCTGCAACGCGCCACGTGCCGCCACGCCACCGCCACCCCCCTCGATTCAGATCGCGCTGGATAAAACGTTGGAGAACGTTTCTCGTTGGATCGAAAACGGCCGTTTTTATTGCATTAACTCGATTGACGGTGGTTCCATGTTGTATCGTGATGGTCCAATGAATTTTCATATTGAAAATGAAAGCGATACGCGTGGGGACTGAGGGCAAATTGTTCGATTGAAAGTAATTGAAGTTTTATCCGGAAATATTAATTCGAGAAACAATCATGTAAATAATATTACATTCAGAATTTTTAGTAGTGATATCTGCTTTTCGTATATTAACATCCTTTTGAATTCATACTTCAGGAACTAAAATTACTCATTAGTTAGAGTAGTTAATTTATAATTATTCGATCTTTGATCAAAAGTTGTCTTGAACTTTTTCTAAACATATAACATCTTTTTGTTCCAACATAACTTCTTTTTAGGATAATAATAATAAAAACATTCTAAAGAATCATCAAATTTTTATTCAATATTCAACTGAAATTCAAACAGAATGGAAAAGAAATACGAATTTTAGGAATAAAATTCTCTAGACCACAGGACCATGAGTTACTGATACTGTGATTTACATATCATTCTGTAATGTTATAATTCCGATAATAATAATAACCAGTTTTATAGAACATATAATATGACAAAATCTAAATTTTTGAGTGGGATTAGATAAAAGTTCTATAATTTTGTAATATTAAATATAAAACAATTTGTATAGCTTATAATGATATCGAATAGATATTATACTACGTATGTAATTATTAAACTGCAGATTTTTATGTGTAAAACACAAAAATGTAGAAAATATGTATTATACAAAAATGTATACAACATTCAAAATACAGTATTTAATAGATAGGTTCCATCTTTTCAACGTTTATATTTATAAAAATAAATATAAATTGGCTAAATATCATCACACGCAGATAAATAAAAATAGACAACAGCACATGCAATCTAATAATTATATAATTAAAATTTCAATCTCAGTAATAATGATTTCATATTTCCTTCTATTTTTATTGATATAGCATTGATATAATTTCTCATAAACTTTTATGCATCAATAAAATCGATGATTCTCCTCGATGCATTTGGTTTTATGTCATTGAGCAGTGTATTCAACCGAGATATGATTCTTGCTTGATTGAACTTCACTGACTCGTAAACAGAGCTCCTCTATTTCTATTGAATTTCTATCAAGTGGATTTAATTCTATCGATATCGGTTTACATAAAAATAATATTACATTTTTCTTAACTCATTACATTTTTCTTAACTCATTCTCACTATATATATATACACACATATACATGTATGTTTGTATTCATATTAATTATGTAATTTTGTATATTTCTCGGATTCATTAATTATTTGATGAAGTAAACTGTTGTTATTTTCAATTTTCCGTTATATTATCCATTAATATTGATTACTGTTTATAGGCATTTAATATTTAATTTAGTACTGTTCATTTAGTAACGCAAGAGAAGATTCACAGAGAAATTTTTGAATAAAGTTGATATTTAGACAAAGGAACTGTAGTGATATCTATCTAATCCAGATACTCTAGACAAAGTATTATGTAACAAAAAGTGCCTACAGAACACCCTCGTGTATTGACGCCACCCTAACATCCCCTACTGCTTTGTCACATTCACTGAATGCTCACTGACACGTGCTGTATCATTATTAAGGCTCGATCTTCGAGCGAAATCAAGGATACGTATGTGTATACAGCGGAAATTATCACCATTTAGGATCGGAACATTGCTGCTGTCATTAGGAAGATATTTATTTCAGTGAAACAAAATAATAGAAAAGATTCTATTCGTTAGCTGATACTACCATGAAATTAATTTATAGAGAAGAGATTCTATTTCTTAATTTAATCCCTCTTTTTCTTCTTATAAAAGATGCAAAGGAAGAAGCACGATTAAAATTAATAAAACCCTGTCGTCTCTGGAGGATAAATTTCCTATAAAAGAAGCATTCGCTTTCCTGAAATTCAAAAAATATTATTTAAAAAAAAAATACAGAACGATTTTCCCAGAATATTATAGAGACTCTTGGAACGTTCAAAAATTTTCTTTTATAGAAGATTATAAGAACATTATATATATTATATATATTATAAGTTATTAGTTATTATAAGATTATATATTATATATATTATAAGAAGAATAACGAGAAATCTAAATAAATAAAATTTATGTCCAAAATTAATGATATTATAAAATGATTTCAGAAATTATTTCATTTTACAAAATGAAGCACAGAAATCTGACGATTTTCTAATATCAAATATCATCAGCTTGTCTCAACAAACAATGATAGTACTGCATGAAATGTTTCCTGAATATATAATTTGACATTTAGATATGATAATATTCTTTACCTCTTTTTCTTGCTCGGTTTAACTCATTGTAATTACTCGCAAAGCTATTTCAAGAACAGACTTTATGCTTGACTCATAAATATTCAAAATTTTGAGCAACGATTTCTGATAAAATGATTCGGAAAGTAGCACACCCTCAAGATAGAGTTTTAGTAAAATTCTCTTTACAAAATAACACGATTTACAAAAATTATTGAAAAGTTGGAAATTTAAAACTCTATAACATTTCAACAATCATCAGATTCCTATGCTCCACCTTATATCAATCTTGGAGAAGTACTTGATTCTCGTCCGGAACCGATTTCTAACATCCGCCAATTAATAGCGGAAGGATCGCCAGTAGAAAACGAAGATTTTCGTATCGACTGGCACGAGTGGAGCGTAGGCAGAAAGGCATTGAGGAACGGCCTGCGCCGGCTGATGAGGCGGAAGGCACCTAAAGAGATAAAGCGGTGAAATGGAGGGACGAGACACACAGAGGGATGCTTAGGCAGCCGGCTGAACGTGGATGTGGGACGGTAAGAACCGGGGAGCCGGTAGTAAGAGAAGCGAGAGGGAAAAGAAATCAACTTTTATTTGCCCGGAACGTCGTTAGGGGTAAGTGGAGGACCGAAGGGTGGCTGGACGTAATGGCGCCCTCAACCTAACCTCGGCTCCTGCCTTCCGGTATCTGTAGCGTGTCTATCGTGCCTCTTCATCCTTCCCTCTACTGCTACCCCCCCCCCCCCCCCCCTCTTTATCCAACAGAACGATTCGAGAATGCATCGGTGTACTCCCCGAACGATTGTTACTGTGGAGAGATGTGGAACGTGGTCCTAGCGATTGATGGAAGACGAGTATTTTGAAATAAGTAAAATTATTAGCAAATTATTAAATTGCAGATGCTTGTTCGTTTATGAAACATATGTATATCATTGATTCGAATGTTTCGAAACAGCTACTATATTTATTTTAAAATTTGAAAAGTAATTGTGTATATGAAATTTATGAAATACACGCGCATTTTGGAAATTTTATTATCTACGATAAAAAAAAGAGTACTAAATATTAAGAATAAGAAATGCCCTAAGAGTTTCTGGCAGTATAAATATTCTAAATATAAGACATCGTATATTTATAAAGATATGAATAAGTCATCGAACGGTGCTTGTAGTCATTCAATAAAATTGTAATTCTATGAAAAGACATCCTGAAATTTTTAAACCAACCCAATATAATCTAGAATTTTGAACGAATTCAGACATTCTCAATAATATTTGTCTGCA